TATTATGTATCCCTTTCCTAATGGTTCTTAACGTTCTTCAGCTTTTTGACTGCTGCTGCACACTGAGCAGATATTCTCAGAGAACTATCCATGATGATTCCAAATCAGTCTTTTTTCTGGAGGGATGGCAGCTGATTTAGATCCCATTGTTTTGTGTGCGTAACTGGGATCGTGTTTTCCAACGTGCATTATTTTGCTTTACTCAACACTGCCTGTCAGCTGCCATTTTGTCTTCCAATCACCCCGTTGACTGAGATCCCTTTGAAACTCTTCACAGCCTGCTTACACTGAGCTATCTTGAGTCACTTAGTATCACCCGCAAAGTTTTCCACCTCACTGATTATCCTTTTTCCAGATCTTTTAATATATTTTGAACAGTGCTGGTCCCAGTAAACAAACCTGGAGAGTCACCACTTGTAACCTCTCTGCATTCTGAAAACTAACTATTTATTCCTACTGTTTGTTACCTGTCTTTTAAACAGTTAATGACTCACAAGAGGACTTTCCCTCTTATTTCACAACTGCTTATTTTACTTAAGAGTCTTTGGCGAGGGACCTTGTCAAAGGCTTTCTGAAAGTCTAAGTACACTATATCCACTGGATCACCTTTGTCCACAATTGCCAACCCCCCTCAAAGAATTCTAATAGATAGGTGAAGCATGATTTGCTTTTGCAAAAGCCGTGTTGACTCTTCCCCCAACAAATTGTGTCCATCTTTGTATCTGATAATACTACTCTGCACTAGTTAGGCCTCAGCTGGAGTACTGTGTCCAGTTCTGGGCGCCACATTTCAAGGAAGATGTGGAGAAATTGGAACGGGTACAGAGAAGAGCGACAAGAATGATTAAAGGTCTAGAGAACATGACCTATGAAGCCAGGCTTCATGAACTGGGCTTGTTTAGTTTGGAAAAAAGAAGATTAAGGGGGGACATGATAGCGGTTTTCAAATATCTAAAAGGGTGTCACAAGGAGGAAGGAGAAAATTTGTTCCTCTTGGTTTCTGAGGACAGGACAAGGAGTAATGGGCTTAAAGTGCAGCAGGGGAGGTTTAGATTGGACATTAGGAAAACATTCCTAACTGTCAGGGTGGTCAAATATTGGAATAAATTGCCAAGGGAGGTGGTGGAATCTCCCTCTCTGGAGATATTTAAGAACAGGTTAGATAGACATCTGTCAGGGATGGTGTAGACGGAGCTTGGTCCTGCCTTGAGGGTGGGGGGCTGGACTCGATGACCTCTTGAGGTCCCTTCCAGTCCTATGATTCTGTGATTCTATGACTACTGTTCCTTGCTATAGTTTCAACAAATTTGCTGGGTATTGAAGTTAAGCTTAGCAGCCTGTAATTTCCAGGATCGCCTCTGGAAGCTTTGTTAAAATTAGAGTCACATTAGCTATCCTTTTGTCATCTGGCACAAGTTGGTTTAACTAATAGGTTACATATTGCAGTGGAGTCCTAGCAGTGCTGTTTGTTACGGGACAAAACGTGCAAGCTGCTTCCTAGACTTTCCCAGAGATTTTGACCTTCCAGAACTGTCATACCCTGTCATATACAGTAAAGAATGGCAGAGTGTAGCTAAAACAACGTGACTACAGGTTGCACCTCTATAAACCGGGATTCTCTGGTCCAGCAACATCCATGGTCTGGTAGGGCAACAGATGTTCCAGGATCAGAGAGTCCTGGTGTGATGTGGGTTGTGCGTGCGGGAGGCCAGCTTGCAGCTCAGCTGGACTTGGGGGGAGGGGAGGTCTGGGAAGCCCCATGCGTGGCTCACTTGGGCTGGGGGTGGGGGGGGGCAGGATCTGGTGTGCGGCTCAGCTGGGCTGTGGGCGGGGTGTGACTCAACTCAGCTGCCCTGGGGAAGCAAGGAAGCCCAGTGGGGCAGCAAGGCAAGGAGTGGGGCTGGCAGCAGAGGGGCCAAAAATGTTCTCCCCTGGTCTGGCAAAATCCAGGACTAGTCAGACCCGAAGGGTGCTGGACTACGGAGGTCCAACCTGTAGCAGAGTGAAGAGACTGTGGGTTTCCCAGGATCTGATCCAAAGCCCCTTCAAATCAGTGTAGAGACACCCCGGCTGTGTCTAGACTGGCAAGTTTTTCCGCAAAATCATATGATTTTGCGGAAAAACTTGCCAGTCTAGACACAGCC